TTGATTCTCAAATAATTTCTCATTCAATAAACATTTTTGTATTAAATCCCGAAAACTAATATAATATTCAATAAACATTTTATTCTATGTATTATTATTCAACTTAATGCGATGTACTAAAATATAGGAAACTACTCGGCAGATCTTCTTTAAGAATAAATCCAAGAATGTTTTATTTTATCCACTCCCGGAAGGAGCACTTTTATATAACTTTTTCTTCTTATCATTACAATACTCAGTTCTCCTTATGTCCTTAGGGGTTGAGATGGGTCAAGCAGCGTTTATCCTTACAACAGTTTGTTTTTCTTATATCCTGCTATTGCAAGATGTATAAATTCAAGTTGTATAAATTTATCAAGATGTATAAATTAATCTTCTAATAATGAAGCATTGTTAAAATAAAATGATTTTTTTATTGATAAAAATATATGTTCATTTATATTAGCTTAGCAGTTGGACGTATAAATTAGGTTAATCAGCAACTTCATTTTATGATATATGAAGATAGCTGGCATTAATCTCTGCACTAAATAAAAAATATGGTCAAAACTACTAGAATATGGTAAAATTTATTGTGTATTTGGATCTGGACCATTATAAATCTCGGCAATTTTAACCAGAGGGCTATGGAAATGGTTTTAGTAAGATTAACAATAAAATATTGTCTTATAATGTGTCTTAAGATTAGGTAAATATGATAAAATTTGGTAATTTTTTCATAATACTTTCGAGCAAGGTATTAAAAACCTTTTACTCCTTTAAATATGCTTTTCAGATTTGCATAATAAATGTGTGGTAATAAGAACTATAGTTCTGAAAACAAGAATTTCCGGTAAGCCGTTACCATATGAATTAAAAAATCACTAAATAAATGGTTTATATTTCGTATATTTCGGATTTATTAACCAGAATTATGGCTCTTTTTACCATAAGAGAATAAGTGTACACAATTTAGAATTATTGTTAACATTCAGTACGGTTATTTTGCCAGAGTTTTTTCTCCATGTGGAATTATGATTGTCATTATATCTCGTATGGCGAATAAATATATTTATATTATTTGCGTGAATGTATTTGTCTCAAAAAAATCCTGTATTTTTAAAATAGATTTATATTTTTGAAACAACTACTCTCAAATAAACTCAATTCCGCATGGAACAATAATATCAGTACTTTAAACTAGGGTATCGTAAAAATTTGAATACAAATGATTTTATTTTATGGTAGATTTTCGAATAATGCAAATTACAACAATTTTAATATTATAATAAAATAATAAGATGTTAAATATTTTCGGCTAATTTAAACAATCGCACTATGAAACCACTTTTAATAAAATATAATTTGTACGTTAATATGCGTCAGATTGACATTTTATTACGACTCAGTGCTATTTGAAATTCCTAAGAAAGTATAATTTGTCTATCAACATAAAGATAAATGAATTTCAGAATTCCTGAAGTTTAAAACAAATAAATTTTTGGAATAATGTAAATTACAATACGTCACCTAAAGCGACACCAATACCTCGCAGTAATTGTATTTTATTGTGAAGGCATATTTAAATGCAATTAAATTAAAACAATCTAAAAGGCAAACAATCAAAGTCCCTCCCTCTCCTCTTAGAGGGCTGCGGAAAAATTATGAAGCCTTGACTGGTCCCGTGATAATAAAAAGGTAACACTGCTTTCAGATGTTTCAGCATAGCATTAAATTAAGCTTCAGCGCTTTTTAAAACTTTTTAAAACTGTATCATTTGTTTATAAATACAAAGACAAATTAATTCCTGAGAATTTTAAAACAAACGAAAAAAAGTCTAATATTTTTAATCAGTTTCAACAATCTTTGAGACTGAATTACAATGTAAATCTATTTATAATTTAAACAATAATTTCTTCCCTGAATAGATAAAGTCGATTTCCATTTAAACGAAAAACCAACAACGTCCGCTATAATTATCTCTCAGAAACAACATAATAAAAATTCATTTATTCTCTGCGCGCACCTTTTATAATTTTCTTTTTCTAGTCATTTCCATACTAACTCAATTTACGACCTCACCAGAAACAAACATTCGTGTTATAAGATTCGATTTCCCTACACCCACTGAAAAAAAAAGAATAAAATGGAACAAAAAAAACAAATCCTCATTTTATGTTATTCTCCGTGTTTCAATCATTAGATGGAAGCATTATTATTGCATTTATCATACTTTTATACGCTTCGCTAAAAAGAGATTCAATCAACTACTCTTTTGCTTCAGCGAATTCTCACGTCAAAACATTCTTTAGAAAATATTCGATTTTATTTTTTCATCAGCTTCATTCTTTTAAAGATAAATGAGCAAAACTTGCGTCCATTCGCACAAACGCCATGGAATAAATATACTTCTTTTATACAAGAACTTTGTGGTTCTTAGAAAAGGGGCAAATTATCAACTCTTTTTAGCACTTCAGTGAATTGATCTCTTCTTATTGAGGGGCTTAGTACCTAATAAAAAGTGTTACGTCTTCATTAGGGCATGTGTGGAATTTTTTTGTGATGTTGTCAGCGAACAAGAATAAGTTTTCTTGTTGTATATTAGAACTGGATATTATTTTTTTACACAGAGGAATCAGCGTATTTCTTTGAATGGCATATATTTTGCTTAGGACGAAATGTTTCTTATTTCTGAGAAAAAGAAAGAATCATTATGTTTGTATCTATGAAATAGCCAGATGAATTTAGTCATGAAAAGAAGGTCTGTAGTTTTTAAATATGAATTTACATGCCGGGATCAACAAAAGTTTAAACTTTTTAGCTACCTAGTTATGTAGTTTTTACTAACGGTTTCTTAGATTTTTTGCTGTAAAAGAAACACTCATCGCAGTGAATTTAAATGAATTGAAAGAGAGATATTGTCAATTTGATACTACAATAATTAGGAAACAATAATTATAAAGAAGATGCCCTTATCTTTATTTTAACTTTCACATTTTGTAATAATTTGAAGTGTAAAAACTAGCGTTTTATGCAATTAATATTAAGCATTAAAGATATTTAAATATTAAAATCGGGATTTCAACAAAGTGAAAGTTTTATAATTGACGTCGAACAGTCTACCCAAATCTGAATTCACAACTATCAATGTTTTACTTCGTGGTCTTGTAATTTTGAACCCAATCCAGAAGACAAGGGAACTCCTGGATCAAGCATTGGGACAAACTAGTCTTTGTGAAGGACATTTTGATGATACTAACACGCACATGGAGAAAGAAACAACAGAAGATTTCCATGGTAAGCCCGAAGACAAAGGGATTCTAACCCATGATTCGTATACCACAGGAGTTTTTGTCTGCTCTGTGGTCGGTGCAAGTTGAAGGAAGAATTTATTTGTATCAATCCGCCACATCTCTTATTCGAACCTGGGTCATCTAATAGGGAGGTGAACGCTCCATCCCCAGAGCCACCGCGACTCAAAGTGAAAGTGTAAGAATGTGAGAAGTGATCTGAAATCAACCGCGTAAACTGTTTTGGGGGATAACGAATGAAATCGAGCAGTGATGAAGCAACCAACATTTTTTTTTTAATAATTTGAAACCAAAAACATGTCTCAATTAGTTAAGAAATGTTTAAAAAAAAGGAATGATGTTATATTCTTAATAAAAAAAATTATTGCTGCAAATTTACAATTCTGTTATTGCTTTCATGTCTACCATCATGGATAACAAACTATGATAAAAAATATCAAGTGTATTTTTAAGATAAAACCCTATTTTTACGAGCCTTTCTAAAATGTTTGTAATACAGGGAGAGGAGATCTAAAATTCTATTTTGATGTGCTTCTTCGGTTTAATGTCTTTTTCATTCAACTAAAGTATATAGAGTTGATGAACCTACATTTGGAAATATTCTTCAAAACAGGAATAAATACGTTCGTAAAATTCTTTACCTGGGTTAAAATTGTGTTTTTATGCAGCAAAAGTAAGTCGTAAAAATGTGTTCTTAAAAATTTATTTGAAATATTTTGCAAAATATTTTCTTACATTTTAAAATTTATCAAACATATTTTATATGTTGTTTTGGTAAAAAAAAAAGAAAACATTGTTATCCATGAAACTTTTAGCAATCGATATGGGTGCTAACTTCGTATAAAAAATGGTTTACTTTCATTGCATAAATACTTTGGATTTATTTGGCGGTGAAAATTTTACATAAAGTCGAATTTCATAATCTTGCAAACATTACTTTAGTTTAGAAACAAAAATATGGAAAACTCTAAAAACATCTACACAGCCACGGTAGCTATAGGAATAAAGTTTTCGCCTCCCGATGAGGTGACGCAGGTTCGAATCCCAACGATGGCTGGTCGATACGAATTCTGCACAGACTACAATAGTGACGTAAGATATCTTCGGTTGTAGACGGATCATGGGTTAGAGACCCTTTGCCGTCAGGCTAACAGCTAGGGACTTTCGTGATTTTCTTCTCCATGTAAAGCAAATGCTGGTTAGTTCCCTCAGAAACTTCTCCATGAAGGCTAATTTCACTCTATATTTGATCCAGAAGCTCTCTTGTCTTCTGGATTGGGTTGAAAATTACAAGGCTGTGGAGTTGAACATTGGTAGTCGTAAACTCAGAAATGGGCTGGTTTTTAAACTCCGATTATAAAATAAAATAAATCTCTACGAATTTTAGCACGTAAATTTATTCCAAAACTTAGAGATTTAAATTTATACTCATATATTTTGAAATTATGTTTGAAATGTTTCAGTAATTTTTCAAATAAATTAACTAATAAAATGATTTTAGAAAGAAAAAAACATGTCTCACAGTTATACTTAATTATTTTTATTTTAATAAATAAATTTACCATCTTCAAACAATTAAATAAATTCAACCAAAAATATTTACAAAATTTAAGCAAAAAATTAAAATGTCCTTTATATATTTAAACATGTATAAAGTGAAAAATGTCTATAGATTTACTGGTTACAACATGTTGCTACTTTTCTTTACAGGTTTAGATAGTGTTTTGGATATTTCTCAGGGTGTAGTCTGATATCTTGATGTGTACAATAGTAAAGATAAAGTTTAGTGAATGGGATGGCCACTCTTTTCAAAAAAGTAAGTAAAATATTTGACATTTTTATAGCTTAAGTATTTGAAATACACTGAAAAAAATTCCGGGTCAAATTACGGTATAAAATACCAACAATGTCGATGCAACGCGTATAAAATCCATTTTACCGTAAAATTCATTTTTACCGTAAATTATAATTCCTCAATTTTTACAGAAATATATTTTTATTCGAGTGATCGATTGATTTTACGATAATTATTACTGTAAAAATTGCGGTGCATCAAACATTTTGTTCCGAAACATGTTCCGATAAAAAATGGATTTTACTGTAAAAAAGTATCGACACCCTGAGTATCGATATTTTTTATTGTAATAGGATTCGAAATTTTTGATAGTGCAGAAACTTAGTTTTTTTTTTTTTTTTTTTTTTTTTTTAAAATTTTTAGCTTCAAGAATACTGAATAATATTGACATTTAATTTCTGATATGAGTATTCTTTCGATTTTAAGTTTAATAGTTATTACGAGGTAGCATGAGCGGTTTTAACATATTGAAGGTTTCAGTTATACTGTCTTTTGCATATTCAGAAATTTTCTTTGAGGCCTGGGCCAACCGGACTTTGTAGGGGTCAGAAAACTGGACTTGCATCAGAAAAGTTCGGGGCTCGAATCCCAGACAAAGCATGGATGTTCTTTCATTCTCTGTACTATATCTGCCGTTACTATGGGAGCAACGCTAGCCCACCCAATATGTTGACCTTGAAAGAGTGGCCAACAAATTTGCGCTTCAGATGCCTGGTCATTCCCCAGGTGGACATTGGAAAAAAAATTCAGAGGACAGGCATTCATATACAGCTTATCCGAGCTTCATTACAAAATCATCAAACTTAAATTCTCTTTTATATAAGATAAAAAAAAATTTTCTTCCTAAAACCATTTTATTTTGTTTTATAACCAGCTTTCGAACCTATTCTGTGTTTATGACCTTTAATGTTGTTCAACTCTGCAGCATTGTAATTTTGAGCCCAACTCAGAAGACAAGAGAACTCCTGGATTAAGCACTAAGAAGAACTAGCCTTCGATTTTCGTTTAGACCTAACCCAAATTTTAGTTACTTAGTGGGGAAAACCATGAGCACCTACCACAGCCAGACGGAAAGGGATTCCAAAACCATTTGAATTTTATTTCTAGCTCAAATATAATTGAAGTTACGTATTTTTTAAATTATTTTCCCACGAGGCTCTCCAATTTAACGTTATGTCTCAAAACATGTTTTCTCATTATTTACTCCATTTTTAATAGCGATATCTTTAATTCGGATAGTCCTAGTTACTTTAAATTTTGAACAGATTTCTTCTGTATATTTGAGTCCAGGAAACAGACTATACACACTAACTAATCAAAATATTATTTTATGTTTTACAGCCATATTAAAAAAAATGTTCATTTGAGGATCAAAGAGGAACGATTTATGTCCATTTAAAACAAAAATGACGATTTGATCATCTGTTACATTTTGACGATTACTGAATTTTGACAAATCTATAATGTGAAAAACATGTTCTCTCCGAGAGTTATATCATAGGGAAAATAGACCGTACTGTAAAAAACCATTCCCATAGGAGCGTAAAATGTTTTCCCCCCCTCCAAATTAGCTATTATCGACTTAAGCCATCGTGGTCTTCAGTTGTACTTTTGACAGTTTTTACTGAATTTGTTGATATATGTGCAATAATTTTTTTTTTTTAGATTTATTCTAAAGCTGATGCTTACTATGTTTGTTATTTACAAACACTATGAAGCAACCAAAAATTAAAAAAATAATAATAATAATTTGTAGCTGAGGTATGGTTTCTTAAAAAAAGAATACGAATTTCTACCTGTTCTCAGCCCCCACCTTATCATTAATTTTTATTTACGATTTCAATGAATAAATATCGTGTTTTATAGCATAATGCATTCGCAAATGTGAACAAAATTAAAGTCCAAACTAAATATTTAAAAAATTAGATTATCTAGCAATGACTGGATACGGGGTGATATTTAACGATTGCTGAAGATTAGACAGGGTGCAAGGTATTAAATTAATTCTGCTGTTGTTGTCTCTAATGCCACTTGCCAATACCAGCAAGCCTGCTGAGTGAAACCAAATTTAAGATAGAGGGTGCTTTTCTTGCGAACTAATCCATACATTCATATATTCATCCACTTCGCAATTTTGACCTGAACCAGAAACTGATCAGTCTCCTATTCAGTACCCCAAGAAGAGTTAATTTGTTATGGGAACTTGGAGGACTTTGTGATCTGATAGATTTAACTTGCACCCGTCACTATTTAATACACAGGGAGTCTTCGGTAGGTGAAGATCGAACTCACGACCTTACTAAATCAATTCTTTTGCAATTATATTAAAAAGAAAGATTGCTAACTTTGTTAGGAAAGAACATAAAATACAAAACTCATTACTTGACCTTTTTTTTAAAAATCAAAATTACTACGACCTAAACGTTGAAGTATTTTTAATATCTGTGTTAAAATGTAAAAGTATTTCTATCAACTAAACTTTCTTCATACTAAATATAGAATCTCTCATCTGTGTTTTCTGTTTTATAAATAAATTTTTTGCATTGGTTTTTAAAAAAGTGCATTTACTTTTCACATGCATTATACAAAAACTTTTTATTTATAAAATATAAAACACAAAAGATACTAAGCTTATTATAAAATTTAAGGCCTTTCTCAATAGTACATGACTTTTTTGTAAACAAAATGGATAAAAATTTATTTAAAAGGAATATTTTAATTAAAACGTAACGTATGACGACATTTTTTTCTTGACACGAACAAATTCCCCATGGGGATATTTTTTCCCTTTAAAAACATCCAAAACATACGCACTAATTAGGAAAACGAAAGTTGGATATAAATAATAAAAAAAAGTATCTCCAATACAATTATTTGAATTCCTTTTTCATTTTTTATAAAGCTTTTCAAAAAACTATTTCACAGTTTGTATTGAAAAAGTCATGATCTTTGATCAGTGTTATTATAATAATTAAACTTTCTATGCCTGCTTCAATTCTTTATTCAGAATAATGTTTAATTCTTTAAGTTATTCTGAATAAAGGACATATAGATGTTGATATTTAAAGGGGAATAGCAGTTCCTCTTCGTATGGGAAATCGATTGAGAACCTGTCAACACCAGAAATCATCGATCTTATCTTATGTGTTTTTCCTTTCAAAGTAGGGCTTTTTATTCTTTATCAATAGTTTTTATTTTCACTTTTTATTAGCACTTATATTGATAGGTAAAATATTAATAGAAAGAAAAGATATTGGATTTAAATTTTTACATGAAATTTTTAAAAACATATAGTTATATTAATTCAGACGGATATTCATGTATTATGCATATGTACCCAATAGTGGTAAAATGGCTCTTCTTCTTCATACGGCAGTGGCAGTTTATTACTTCATAATTTTTTTTCCAGGGTCATGTGGAATTAGGGTGCACCCTAAATTAATTCAATTACGGTAGAGGATGATAACGGGGTATTTATTTTTATTAGCACTTATATTAATAGGTAAAATATTAATTAGAATACCAGATATTATAATTAAATTTTACACAAATTTTTAAAAACATATAGTTATAGTAATATGTACATATATTTACGTATTATGCGTAAGTCACCAGTAGTGGTAAAATGACGCCTCTGCTTCACATGACAATGGCAGTCCATACTTCAAATTTTTTCTTTTTTTTAACCAGGATCGTATAGAATTAGGGTGCGACCCTAAATTTGAATTCAATAATGACAGAGGGTGATATCAGGGTATTTTATTTTTAATTTTTATCAGCACTTATATTTATGGGTTAAATATTTATGAGAATACCAGATATTGGAAATGAAACTTTATATGGATATTTTAAAATATATAGTTATAGTAATATATACATACGTTTATGTATTATGCGTTTGTTACCAGTAGTGGTAAAATGGCGCTTCTCAGTTATATGACAGTGGCAGTTGATACTTCTAATTTTTTTTAAAACTAATGCATACATACTCATATGTTCTGAGAATCATTTAGTGAATAAATGATTTTTTTCTGTAGGGGGAATCAAATTTGCACGAAAATACATGCCTAAATTTTCAAAAACAAAAATTTATATTCGTTTAAAAATATGATAATTTTATAAAATGTGATGATTATTGTAATAATTACAAAATCTAATGATTAAAGGGGATGATTAATGAGACGGTTGCAAAATATGGTGATTTTTAAGACTCTTAGAGAAAATTAAAAATACAAAGCATCGTTGCTGGGTGAACTTGTAAAGACATGTTGGCAACGTTCAATAAACGTTTTAAAGTAGCATTCAGAAAGCGTTAATATTCCTTAGATACACATTGTTTATATTTGAATAATAATGATGCAAAACATTTGTGTTCTCCATTTCAGTGCAAGTGTTTATGTTTAATGGAATGATTTTTGAAACACTTAAACAAAATTAGAAATTCGAAACATCACAAACTTTTATTTAAAAAACTTAAGACAAAAATTATAATATTTACCGATACTTAATTTGTTATAGAATATTCTTAGCTATTTTGCAAAACAACTGCGTTTCAAAATGGCTTGCGGCGTTAACTTGTCAAGACAAGTTGCTGACGAATTCAAATAAATGCTTTAAACTAAAATTCAGAAGGTGTTATTATTCCTCAGATACACATTATTTATCATCGGAAAGTGATGTTTTGTGTAAACAGGTGTGTTTTTCATTTCAGCATGAGTGTCTAGATTTGCTCTCAAATTTTCAGTTTGTATCCAATAACCGGTTTCAAAAGATATTGTAGAAGTCAATATTTAGAATTTTAGAGAAAATAATTGAATTTTCAGTTTATATCCAATACACTAACCGGTTTATAAAGATATTGTAGAAGTTAATATTTAGAATTTTAGAGAAAATAATTAAACTTTCAGTTTATATCCAATACACTAACCGGCTTATAAAGATATTGTAGAAGTCAATATTTA